TGCCACAAATTCTCCTAAATCACTCGTACGCACAACTTAAGAACAAATCTGTGCGTACGAGCGGTTCTTGCATGAGGCCCAATGAAACTGAAATCYAGAGCCAAGGCATCAGAGAGCACCAGTACAGTCATGAGAAGCACTTAAAATGTTTTACTTTGWGGGATGGAGATTAGATCTTATTTTTAATAAACAGGYATTTTGGAGGCATGACACCACATGCCTAACAGCGGTTAATGGAAACACTTTTGTCACTTTCTAATAGAGTTTAAGCAATATTAGCACTAAAAACGGATCATGTTTAAGGCTAAACATATTACAACACAATTCAATTAGATAGTATTCTACAGTTTGTCATGGTGACACTTAAATTAATTCAAGTTCAAAAACAATTATAGCTTAAACATATTTAATTGGTTTATGTTTCCTGTTAAATTTATTTTTCAGTTATTTTAAGTAACTTAATATCTTACCTGTTGTAGATAACCTCCCCACATAGCAGACAGGTGAGGGCCAGATCTGGTGTCAAGCTGGCACTCTTGGCATTGCAATTGGTTTGTCAACTGGATGTGGGCCAGGTCTGGTAATGATGGCACTATTTTTATACCATAACTGGCCCCAGTTGTGGTTTGATTTATGTGGTGCTTGGCAAACCTCTGGCAACTACAAAAGGGTCATCATTCTTTGTGGTATCTGGGCCAAGGGTTGGTGCATTGTGTGGGCCAGAACTGGGCCAGAGAAAGGTTGCTGTGTGGGTTTCCACAGATACCAGTTTAAAATGTCTTAAACTATTGCCTTAAGTTATGCTACTAGGCACAATTTTCATACAGTTATTGTCAAGACCTTCATAGATTGTCATTGTTGTTAAAATAAAATTAAAAGTCATAACTATCTGCATGAATAAATGACTCATGTGGTCGTTTTTGGAAAGCGGATGGTCTCCATTACTCAGAGCTGACAGGCGCGTCATTAACTGAGGTGATGGGGCAGGAGACTTACTCTTTTCTCTAAAACCTGCCATTATGTGGTTAATCAAGTCTGCTCAAGAGAGAATATAAAATATGATATGTGCCCTCCAGTCTCTGCAGATCCATTACTTACCTTGTTAAATCTGGTCCCTGATACTTGTGGTATTTGTCAGTTTTTAATAGCGCTTAAATGAAACATTCAAATTTACTTTGACCAATGAATGTCTGGATAGGTTCATATTGTCATATATATTTAAAAAGAAGAATAAAATGTCAAACAATGGTTCCTGCTCACAAAGTGTGTCAACAGATGCTTTTCAAAACATGTCAGGTCAGGATTCTATCAGTGTTAATCAAAGCGAAACTACTGTGTCAAAAAATGGTTGTGTTTGGTCGAACAAATGGTGGCCACATTCAGAAACACAGATAACACAACACTTAAGGTTTAACCAGATGTGTCCCCAAAATTCAATAATGTTTGCTTATCATCCAAAGCAACTGCTTCAATATGTGGCACATGTGAGACCCCCAGACAAAAGTACTYACTCTCCTGGAACTTTTTCAGATTTTCTCACATTATAACCACAAACTTGTAAGTATTTTACTGGGATTTTTACGTGAAAGACCAAAAAAGTATATCATAATTGTGAAATTAAATAAAAATGGTTTTGAAAATCTTTTTATCATGGCCTTCTCTGATACAATATGGATCAAAGCTCTTTCTGCTCRACTCGTCAGTTCAGGTGGATGGCCAAGTTTTTGTAGGGTTGCTTTTGTGCCATTTTCTTTTGATGGGTTGAGCAGAAATCTRTGAGGCATTCAAAGGTTGGGTTGTTGTTTTATATACCAACACTGCTTCCAGACAGCTTTACCCCTGTCTGGTGGATTCCTTGGTCTTCATGATGCTGTTTGATCTCTTATATTTTGTTAAAAACCTCTGAAGCTTTAATTAGATGACTTTAAAAAGTTGGTAGAAATTGGTAGAACTGAATACCAGGATAAACAGGACTAAATACAAACGCTCGGCATGTTTTTTTCTGATTTTTATTCATTTAAAAAAATTGAAAACAATTCAGTTTATTGTTACGAAAAGTTCGTTTTTTTTTTCACCTGAAGAGAGGAGCGTGTTGATGCTGTTCACAATGTTTGGAGAAACAGAAATGGCCCTATTTCTATTTCTGGATTTCTGCTATTATTTATGAAGTTTTGTGTTTCTCTTCAGGGGGAGTTGAATCCAAGATGAAGGAAAACATATCTGAACTCTCTCAGCTCAGAGTGAAATGTTTGGCTCATGTTATTGAAGTAGCACACATACTTGAATAGCTATAATAAAATAAAGCTGAACCAGTGGAAGAAGTGGTTATAAACATTTGGAGCCACTTTCTGACCTCAGGCCTTCTATAAATACACAGACATAAAAACTTGAAAACTGTTAGTGATGTAGATGATGATCAAATTTCTATGGTTCTATTTTCAGGTTTATTTCTGTATGAATTCCATAGAAAACCTGCTTCTTTCCCCCTTTCCACCCTCCTCACTTCTGATCTGATCAAACTGAAATATTTCCTCCAAGTTTGGTGTTTAAAATACAGTGGCACCTAACTTATGAGTTTAATTTGTTCCATAACAGAGCTCATAACTCAAATTGCTCATWTGTCAAATCAATTTTCCCCACAGAAATTAGCTGAAATGCCAATAATCTGTTCCAGATCTCCCTCAAAACAGTCTTGTACACAATATAGTTTACTGCAATAAATAGGTTTAATTTTGCAAGTACACTGTACAATGTACTGTACATCATTTACCTTGGTGTTCGCTATGCCAACAAGTGGTGGGGTGTCTGAAGGGCTCGTAAACCAAATTTTAGCTCTTGACCTGAAGCAAAAAATCATCAGAGATGGCTCATTTCTCAAAAAACGTGTTAGTTGAGACTCTCGTAAGTCAAGGTACCACTACTTGATAGCAGAAAARGGCTCTGTTTTTATATGGTTAAATAAAAGAAAAGACTATCAAAACTGTCATTTTTGCTACAACTACTCTTGGTTCTCAACACTATTTATTTTTCAATAGAGCAAGGGAAATTCCCACATACTAGTGGGCCGCAGCAAACGTAGTTGGCAAAAATGCAGCAAAATTACATTTTTACGTGGCAACTTTTGAACCCTGTGCACTTGCACCTATTTTGTGGGTGAAAGAATCAACCTGCATTATGGGAGATGTAGTTTATGGTCAGTGCTGGCTATAAAGCAGCATACTCTCATTTTAAGACATTATTACATCTTTGAAGCTCTCGCGGGTCACATAAAGTGCTGTGGAGGGCCACATTTGGCCCACAAACCTTGAGTTTGACACATGCGCAATAGGGCCTTCAATAAAACGGGCTGAGTGTATCTGTTAACAGAGGTGCAAAGACAATTCCTGTAAATACCAGCGTCAGCATTAAACCACCTCTCAGGCACCGAACTGGAATCAACACACGCAGCTGCTGCCTAAACAGTCAGACCTTCAGCGATGCGCCTTTTGTTCCAAAATAAAACTTTTCCGGTGGGAGGGAAGTGTTTGCAACGTGTGAGAACACTGCAGTGCTGGTATGTGTAAAATTCATTAGGCGCAGGATGAATTTAGAGCAACTGCTTCCACTGTGCAGGGACGCACATTTAGACCTAAATACTGTTTTTGACAGGTGTTTCTGGATGCTCMTTTTWCTTATATTCTGGTGTAAGCTAATCAACAACAATTTAAGTGAAAGCTGTAGATKTGTTTGATAGTTGATGTGGGAAATGTAAAAAGGAATGTAACTWAAGCAGTGCCCTCTGCTTGTCTGGATGCCCCACACAATCACCCCTTCTGTTGTTTTGCAGCCTGTGTTGATGTCTACAGGACACACTCCAATGTACACCTCKGCAGTTTCCACTCTGGTAAGAGCACGGCGATTTGTGTCGCTCTGTCAGTGTTAAACGTGCATCATCTTAATCATCATCTCATCAAAAGTTGATTTTTTAATTTTTTTTTTCTTTGTTCATTATTTAAAACCCTTGTGCCCCTTCGTAGTTCACTGTAATCGGTTTCGTCATATTCGTGGAGTCACTACTTTGTTCCATCGTTCGAGTGTTTTCWGTCTCAGTGTCAGTGAGTTTTTTTGTGAAGTCGTCCAAGAAACTGAAATCTTTCAGATGTCCTTCATTTCTACTGATGCTCAAAATGCAGCTTAGTTTTCTCTGACAGAAGTTCACATGTGCACAAAAACAGACTTTGCAGGGTGAGTCTTGAGTTTAAAAAAGGAGACTCAAAAGATGAAACCAAGCCCAGCGTGTCTCTCTGTTTTATGTGGAAGATTTCCTACAGCAGCAGGTTTTTTTTTTTTTTTTTTTTTTTTTTTTGCAGGACACACAGGAACCTGCAGGTGTCAGTGTTAGACTGCACAGAGTGGCTCTCATAACCTTGAGAAGACGGCTTCGGCTGATTTAGTAGAATTATTTTTTTTATGACCGGACAAGCTGCACTAAACTCATAWCTGCTTTGACTTTTAGTTGTGCAGCAATCGTTTATATTGCAGTGAGGGGTGCAATGCAGTTTTGTCAGATTATTTCTAATTAAAGAGAATGTTATAAATGCTCAGTTGTAGTTTAATGTTTATTTCCACTCATTGTGCTACATTCATTTGGAGCTTTTAATAATTTGTTTGAACTGTGCCTTTATTTATCCAGGGATAAATCATAGAGCACACAGGTTGAATGATGCAAAAATACATTTTCTTTAGCATTTTATCATGTTATTTCATTGCCTCGTCAAAAAAACATACACAGAGTGTTGCTTTGACTCATTCATGCATGTTTGAGAAATCCATGACTATCCTGTGGTAGCCATATGGAGCTGCCTAAATGCTTGCTGGTACAAAGCTTCGCCTATTTGTGCGTAGCTCCTCCCTGGAGCTCAGTCAGCAGTAAAGCTCCCGCCCCACTAAGCACCACTCCCCTGAAACAATGTTGTGAAGACGTGCTGAAGTGGGAATGTCTGAAAGAAGTAGGAAGTTCTTAAAGAGACAGAGGCCAGTTTTAAAGTGTTTAGATAGGCTATAATGTAAAGTCAATTTTATTTTTGATACAGCATTTTCAACTGAAGGTAACATATTTACGTGATTGTGGAATAGAATAAAGGTGGGTACAGGGGGTATTATGTATTTTTCAAGCACATRTGAACTATGTGCTTGAAAAATACATAATAMCCCCATTTAATTTGTGGTGACAGTTTTAGAAAGTCATTTAACTTGACCTGGACAAGGCCAGTTAATGTTCTTGTTCATGATTATGATTCACTGCAGCTTCTAACTTGTTAATTTGACAGAGAGGAAATTTCTTACGATGTTCAGGAACAACCCAGAAACCAGTCAGTGTTAAGCCTGCCTTGTACTGGAACACCAGTTTTACTGTCCGTGATTAAAATAAAAAAAGTTGGACATCACTGTGGACTTAGAGGGTGCTGACCAAGACAGAAGCCTCTGTTCTAAAAGGTGACACCTTCAAGCTCGACTGAAACTGGCAGCTGTCCACATGGAAAAGCCATATAACTTCTGGAGCAAAGTTTTTATGGTCAGACCAGAAAAAAGATTGAGCTGTTTGGCTACAACAACAGAAAATACAGCAGATCGGGGCTGAGAACTCTCTTACATATGGGGACCTTGCACATAATCGTCAATATTCGAAATGCATAAACATTCCCTCTAATAAATATTCAGACATATTACATTCTTCAGATGTGTGYGTTCAATTTTCCAAAATGTGCACACACGGGGCCGCATGATGCATTGCAGCAATGCCTTTGAGTGTGCCTGCTGTCATTGCGGTCGGCACAGTGCCCRTGTGGATGTCACTGATGGGTAGGCAGTATCGTAAGTCTGTCTCTTTATTGCTTTTATGGTGCGGGCTTTGCCAGTTCGAGTACTCCCCCCCTCCCCTCATTGATTTACGAGCAGGATCGTCTCTGGAAACGCCGCAACAGTTTGCCAAGTGAGGGGAGGTCTTTAGGTTATGCACATGATTTAGCAAAGAGGTGCTTTAGCTTTAAATGACATCAATTCTTTTAAAGAGTCATTATGTAATGTGATTAGAAATTATTCCTCCTTTTATGTTGCACCAAACATTTGATCTTAGTGTGTGCTTGAAGCGATTGATCTTCGYTTCCCTTTACTTAGTGATTCTGTAAGTGTGCATCGGTATGTGTGATGTAAGATGATGTTCCTGTTTTTACCATGATAAACATGAGATTCAAATCTTATTTTGCATAAATGATGTAAAATATGGATTTTAAAACAAGGATCTAAGTYCAAAGTTAAGTAGTTTCCATTTAAATTATAAGAAATAGTTACTTCAAAGAGGTTATTTTGTTCAGTGTGRTAATTAGTGCCAAAAATCATAAACTACTTATAACTTTACATCCAATCTATTTAATGTTGATCAAGCTTTTAACTACTTGGAAGCAGTGTTGTAGCTCTTAGGCGGGATTGCAGCTCTAAATATGTCCTAAATGTCCCTGAGTCTCAGGACAAGACATATTGGACATCAAATCTGTTTCATTCAATCATTAAAACCTCCCAGGAATGATAAAATAATATTTTCTTATGTTTTTTTAACAAAAAAAAAAAAAAAGCAGCCAACCTGTGTTTGGTCGCTCCGTATTTCAGCAGCTTCTGCTTCCCACCAGCTGGCAGCCATTGATAATCTATACCTGCAGGGTGCATAATTAGTGAACCGCGACAAAAGGAGACAGATAGTGCACACAAGACTCCTAATTGCCACCATCAAGAGGTAGATTGTGGATGTTTTCGGAGGTTGTGTCAAAGTTAAAGTCAGGCAGAGGAGGCTTGGAGAAGCTTGGGAAAAGAAGTTGTGACCTGTTGTTGCAGTTTCATCTRTGAAGACAGACTGGGCCAGAGGACCAATTAGTCCCGCTCTTTGGTTCTGGAATATTTTTCTAATTAGACATAGCATCAAAATGTATTGTATATATTACCAATGCACATAGTRATACAATGATAATAAGAGACCAATCAGTGTGAACTCTGTTTTACTGCAGATAAATAAACAGCAAACATGACTAATACCTCATATTAAAATGGAGGAAAATTTCTATGTTGGGCTGAATATCCAAGGCCAGTTAACCAGTGTACATTACAACAGCTCAGACTCATGTCTGCATTCTCTTTCTGTTTACCAGCATCCTAAACAAATGGCAGCCACAGACAATGATCTCAAACTGGAAAATTATCACTGTTGGTAATTATGTTAAAAGGTACATTAATCATGACAATCTGGAGGTCTGCACCCCATTTATCTTTGCCATTTATCCCTTAGGATGTGGGTGAGAACAACGACTGAGAGCTGAGATTATTTAAATTATACTCTGTCTCCTATCTTTGTTTGTTTTTCTTTCATTTTAATTACAGAATTAAATACTTCAAGGAGGTCGTTTCAGAGAGGGTTTTCTTTCATTTTAATTAAAGGACTAGAACCTGATGAGATGCTTTAGTGCTCGCAGGGTGTGTTGAGCACAAGTCCCAGCCACTACCAAGCCAAAGCTCAGTGTCTGTTGACTTACCAGAGTTGTAGCTGTTTTTGTGTTTGATAGCATCTGTTAACTTTGGCAGCCGTCTATTGGGTTGACTCCAAACGTTAATCAGCAATAGATTTACAATCAGATAAATCCTGAGAGTTTAATGAAAATCAGTTCAGTGGATTGTGAGATATTATAACGGACAATCACAATTGACTGAAGATGTTAATATCCGTGTTTTAAGCAAAGATGTAAAGAGCTCAGTGTATGCACTATGAATGATCCTCAGAATGCCAAATTTTAGCTCAATATCTGGGACACTACCAGAGCTATATCCATTTTTGTGTTGACAAACGTTGATAAGCTGTGGAGGCCATCTTTTATTAAATTGTACGCAAAATTTAATCAGTTGAAAATATATATCTAGTTATTATTTTTGGAGAGTTTCATTGAAATCTATCCAGTATTTTATGAAATATTTTGCTAACAGCAACATAATTGACTCGCATAAGCAATGCCAGCATTTTAAGCTAATATATTGTTCAGTATATGGTACTCAGAGTATACATTCTCACTTCTTTTTATTTAAAATGTTGTACTCTGTGTTGTACCCTCCTGCACAGTCAGTTTCCAGCTTCTGCTCTAACGTTCTCCGTCCTCCTGACTTTTCTTTAATAAATGTTTAAATACGTCCCTGCAGCTTCGGTGTAATTACTGTGCCTCCGCCACAGCTCGGGTCCCTGGGGAAGGAGAGAGGAGAGAGTAGGAAGAGAGAGTCTGCGCTCAGAAAAAAAAATTAAAAAAGAGAGAGCCATTCATGATGATGGAGTGCAGGATGAAGACGTCTGCAGTCAGGAGAGCAGGAAAATTAGACACTGTAGGTTACTTGAAAAGATTTTATCAGTCGAGATCAGAGCCGCAGCTGACAGGCTTGTCCTTCAGCTTATAACCTTCGGTGAATTTGATGTGCAAAGCCGCCCTGTGGACACGCATTACATGATTGCTGATTTGTCAAGCTCAAAACAAAAGCTTTGAGAACTACAAAGAACCTCACTTTGTAAGTGAATTCATAGACAGGCAGCGTTACCAATTTTTTAAATTATTTATCTATTTATTCATGTAAAGATTTTTTTCATATAATTTGTGCATTATATTGGCAGCATTATAACTGAAATAATGTTTTTAGTAGAAGTAAAAAAATAAATCAACTTTTTTAATAATCTTACTAAATGTTTAGATTTCCTTAAGTGATTTTCCAGGATTTTTTTTTTACAAACAGTTAATATCTTACCTGCAGCACATAACGCTTCAGAGAATCTCAGTTTGAAAAAATAGTCTCAAACAATTCATGGCAGTTCTTGCTGACTCA